AAAGTCGCGCTCCTAATTGAAGGTCGTAAGATAGGTAAGGTTAAAGTAGGGAAGCTAGTCCGGAGGGTAGCCTATTGTGCCCGAATTTATTATTCTCTAACCCCCGCTGAAAAAACTGCCTTTGAGGCGTTGTAAAATACGGTATATAATAATAGTACTATTTTGTACTATTTGGACCTAGATTGCCTAGTGTTTTTATAAATTAATAGATCCCTAGAACGAGGTTTTGGCGTTATAGTTTTCTATATTAAAGAACCCTATAAATAGGAAGAAAGGACTATTATACTATTTTATTAAGTCCTGCCTATAATGTTTTTGAGTAAGGTACTAATAAAGGCCGAAATAAGATACGGCCCGTTGGAATTGGAAATTGCGTGCTTAATATAGGCCGTTAAAAAAATGCGAACCTAGTTTTACGCCTGTATAAACCCTATTATAGTATTAATTAACTATTTGGTAATTAAGGGTATTATAAAATAGATATTATTATAGATAATATTAATCGACTAAGCTAACCGGCGCTTAATTAATACGTTAATTTATTTGTCCGAGTATAAGTTGAAAGTCTTTTATATACTAGGTAAGCTCAATTTTATATTAGACGCCCTTAGTCGTTTAAAAATAATTAGCGGTAATAAGAACCCCGACGGAACGTCCGTTCTTAATAATATTTAGATTAAAGACCGAACCTTCTACTTAAATAACGTATAGTACGTATTCTCTAAGGCGTAAATAGATCCTAAAGTCTATAAAGCCTATACGGCCGTTTACACTTCTAATAAAAAATTCGTTAAAATTATAAAATATCTAAAGGAATATAAAATAGTCTCTAAGGACGGAGATATTGTTTTTTCTAAGCCCGGGTATCCTTTCTTTATAAAGGATAGCCTTATTTACAATTAATAAGTAGATAGAACTAAGAACCTTTATATCCCTTATAAATTTATTAAAGAAGTTCTAGAAGCAGCCTACGACAATAAGTATTACTTTAGGTATAATTATATAATATATAAATTTTAAAGAATGTTTTTCATTAATAAGGCCCGATTAATTAAATAATATCTAAAATACTACTTAGCGTACCAATTTAACTAAACCGATTATAACCCGCCTATTAGTAATTATTAACCAATCCAATCCGAAAAGGTATTACCAATAAAAATTATATCTATTAATTTTATTATTAGCCTTTTAAAAATCTCCTTAACCGATATACTATAGTAAATACCTAATTATAGTACTTTCAATTCTTTAATACTTATTACCAATAAAACATTAAAGAGATCCCTTCTAATCCTTAATTATAAAACCTATACGGCCATCGAATGGGGTATTATTACAATCCGTATAATACTATTATATAACTGGGGATTCCCAATAGGTATTATTTTAGACCGCGATTATAAATTTATATTAATATATTAGCGCAGTATATAATCCGCAATAGGTACTAAATTACTTATAACAATAATATATTACCCTTTAGGAAATAGAGGAGCCGAATAAAAGAATTAAATAATTGAAATTACAATTAAATTTTACACGTTTGTGTACAACCTCGGCTATAATTGGTTGCTAATCATTCCTTCTTTGTAATAGAATTTGAATAGTATATTTATTAAGAACCTTAAGGCCTTACTATACAAGTATCTATTTGGATATAAATTGTTAGGACCCCTAGATATCGCTACCGGCGCGATTGAACTATTATATTAATTTACTAATAACCTTACTATTTGAGATTATATCCGTTAAGAAATTTAATTAATTATAGATTTTACTATTACTAATACTAAACTTCGCTATAATATTAACTACTAATAATTGGAGTTTAAAGAAGGGGATAAAGTATTTTTAAAGTTCAATTATAAATATTACCTATTAGGACGTCCTTTAAGGAAAACCTCCTAATAACGTTCGGGACCCTTTAAAATCGTTAAAAAGATCGGTCGCTTTACCTACCAACTCGAATTACCTCCGAATATAAAGATACACCCTATTATCTCGGTAGTATACTTTATTACAGTACCTAACGACTAAGATCCTTTTAGCCGGACCATTCCCCCGCCGGGACTAGTAGAAGATTCTTAAAACGATTCCGACCCCAGTTTAAATGTAGATTCCGAGGCCCCTCGATATAAAATTAAAAAGATCGCTACGTATAAATAAGTCAAAGGAAAATTATAGTATTATATTAAATAGAAGGGTTATAGTTACTATAATAATTATTAGAAGGATATAAAGGATTTAAAAAAGACTAGGGATGTTGTAGAGGACTACTGGAAATACTGTTTAGACGAGCGCCAGTCCGGAGCGCTTCGGTCGCATATAGACGGACAACGCAAAGTTCGCTTCGTAGATGAGAAGGACCGAAAGGAGGAAAGAGAACCCTTATAATACTTACTAAGGCGAAAGTGAAGGTATTCCCATCGAGGACGATAGGCTTCTCTTTATAGTACCGGGACTTAATACGGGATATATTATATATATAGTTAGAATTAATTAACTAAAGTAGACTAGGTATAACTACAGTTATGCCCATTATTATTAGAGGCTCTGGCAGGTCTAGGCACGTGCCTAGTCACGTGTTTGGCTGCCCGGTCGCATAGACCCGCCCTGTAAGGTGGGCTAGTAATAAGATAAGGGAATTCCTATAAAGGGATTCCCGTATAGGCCGGCCTTCGGCCACGCCTTTCTTCCTCTAACATCTTCTTCTTTAATATTACAGTATGCACCAGCATTGTAATATTTGAAGACACCCGTATTACCCTATTAAGGGTTTAATTATAGAGAATTAAGGAATTATTAGGTAAGGGTAAGTGCGTCCGCCTTTATAATTTTAATAGTAGCTAATATATTTAATATATTATAATTCCTAACCTTAACTTCTAGAAAATTAGTTTATAAAGTAGCAGCGATATCTCTAAATATATTTTTGGGCTATTTCTTATATTTAAAAATACTTTCTATAATTTAAAGAGTTTTTTCAAACCGACGGTAATTAGGTAAATACCCTACGGTATTTAAATTTAAATTATAATTATATTAGTATTAATTATAGTCGAACTTCTAAATACCGTTGAATTTCTTATATCTTATAGTTTTTACCTTCTATTTATAACCCTTCTTATTGGATTTTAAGGTATTACGGATACCCTTAGGGGTATGGCTAGCGTGTTTATTTTTACCCTCGCTATATATAAAATTATACTAAGTTGGTTTACTATTAACCTTATTATTATTACGATTCGATGTAATATAGAATTTTTCTATTTTGGCGGCGGTATTAATATTACGAAAGAGAGTCTTATAATTAAATTATTTGTATTTGTAAAGGTAGTATAGTTATAAGGGACTTTCGCCGCTATTATCCTTATTATTAGAGATTTGAATTACGGCGGGAGCGGGGGGGTTGCTAGTGAGATTAATAACGTTGGTCTTGAATTTTGAGGGGTTAATAGGGTAAATAGAGCGGGGCATTTTAATAATAATAAATATTATAGCGCGGTATTAGCGATGATGAGGTATGGGGGTAATGAGGTATGTGTTCAATCTTATAAGTGTGTTAGGGATGTACACTTATGCTGCTCGCTGCAAAATTTTGGTGCGGCTGGCATTTACTAATATTTGCTGACATACTGTATAGGGCGGCCCCTTCTGGTTAGTATACGGTCACATTATCGAGGCACACGGTCACTTTATCCGCCCCGCCTCCAGCCTCTCCAGGTTGTTCCCTGAATATCATCACGTTGCAATAACCAGCCCCACCGAAAAAGGCCGAATGGATGTCTGGGCGCAATTAACCCCCCCTAGCCCCCACCATTGTAACCGTTATCGTCCGTTATCGCCCGTCAAGCTCGCTTGGACGTGGCATTGCAGAAGGCTCTCGGCTTTTGGACGAGATCGTTGATCCTGGCGACAAGAATGCTGATGCGGGACCCATCGTTGCTTATCGATACCGGTCATTGCTTATGAGGCTTATCAGATGATCTGATTATTTCTTACTGCCCCTCCATCTCCACCGTGACTCTACCAACACACAGTAGCGTCGGGTCGCCAAATGCCCCTCCATAACTGGCCGTCTACAATTCCCGAGCTGATCGTGAATCCCAGCAAAGTCAACGCTCAGTTTGATGGGAGTTTGGCTATTGTTTGGTGGTAAGAGTGTACGGATGATGGACTTGACAGTTTCTCGGAATTCGGGGTTTCCCTGGCGTTGGGGGGGGGCTTTAATATGATAGGTGAGCTGTCGCAATGACCATCTGTTTCCGAGCCGGACTTTGGGAGGCATTGAATCTGGGTCTTGAAACGTAAACACCCCGCCGAAGTGCAGACGTTCGAGCTGCGTTTGTACCCAATGCTACCGAGTCCAGAGTCCCCTCACAGCTACAGGGAGCGTTCATAGGCGGAGTTAATACTCGGAGTTCTGTTTCACGCTCTTTGCATTTTCCACAGTACATAAGGTAAAGGCCGCCCTTCTCCGATATCGTTCTCAGATCACGTCGTACAAAGGCGTTGAGCCCGCATTGATAAAATCATAGCACTTCAACTTCAGCTCGACATACTTTGCCAGATGCAACCAAGTTGAGAATGAACGACCCCCATCACGGTAAAGCGGAGGTACGACGGAAAAAGAGTTGTAAGTGGAAGTTCATGGGTAGGAGTGAGTTGACCCTTGAAACCCTAACCCTCGTGCTTTGACCTTTCGCGCCGATTAGTTGTGATCCTGCGGCAGGCTCAATTGTGTACCACCAAGTATGAATGCGCACAGGCGCCGTTCCTTACTGGTGTGCGCCAATGAGTAAGGTCGGGTCCAGTGGCGTTCAGGGACCTTATCGACGCTTGTTTATCCGTCTTATCTGAACTTTCGTTGGTGCCTCCCGTTGGCTTTCGCCGCTCTCGCTGATTGCGACATCCACCTACGACGGCCATCACCAACCGCCTGATTCTTCTCAAAAGAAACCGCAGGGTCGTCTGTTGAATAAACACACCCTAGTATCATGGGCTTCCTCGAGTGGCTGATGCCCCCAAGCATCTTCAATGTGTTCCAAACACGCCTGCTAGAAAACGGGCAAGGTGCTCAGCTGGAGCCCAATTTCAGGCCGGCTCTCCTGGTGGTTGACATGCAAGAGGACTTTTGCCCACCGGTAAGCTTCGGATCTGCTTCCTGCACGTACCTGTACAGAACCCGCAGCAGCATCGATCTTTTAGTCTTTTCCTGTGACGTTTTTCACCCATCCTGACTACCCTCACTTGTTATCATCTGAATCCTCGCATTGTTCTGGCCTCTTTCATTACTTCAAGAAAACTGGAAATCGTACAGTGGCGAGAACATACCATTCGTGTCGTCGCCGTGTAAGCCTCGTTCTACGGGCAGACAGACCACTTACAATCTCCCTATGAGCTCAGTGGCTTGCACAAATACACAGTCGCATCATCTTTTTCCTCTTCTCATCTCAAGTCAAATCATCTCACTCATCACATCACAGCAGTCCCCCCCCCCTCACTGTTTCCACACCCACCTTCACCCATACTCAAACACTAACACTTGTCTTGCAAAACAGAACGGCACCCTGGCAGTCACCGGCGGCCGCTCCATAACCCCCCTAATCAACACCCTCCTCTCCTCCCCTCTCTTCGTCCTCCGCGTCGCCACAAAGGACTGGCACCCGCCCAACCACATCTCCTTCGCCTCCAACCACAACCACACCACCTCCTCCCCCTCCCCCTGCTGCCCTGACTCCTCCGGAGAAGCCGCCATCCCCTTCCTGTCCACCACCACCGTCCACAACCCCCACAACCCCTCCGAGTCCTACACCACCCGCCTCTGGCCCTCGCACTGCATCGCCGGCACCCCCGGGGCTAGCCTCATCCCCGAGCTGGACGTTTCCAAAATCGACCGGATCCTCGAAAAGGGAACCAACCCCCTCGTCGAAATGTACTCGGCCTTTTACGACCCCTTTACCTCACCCCGCGTTAGCGATTCGGGCCTCGCACACATGTTGAGGGAGGCCAAGGTAACGCACGTTTATGTGGTGGGACTGGCGGCCGATTATTGCGTGTGGAGCACGGCGATGGATGCACATAACGAAGGGTTTGAGACGGTGGTGGTGGAGGAGGCGACGAAGCCTGTGGATGAGGACGGGTGGAGGAAGTGTAAGGAGGCGCTTGTGGGGGAGCCGGGGGTGAAGGTTGTGAGGTGGGACGGAGAGGAGGTCAAAAGGTTGTTTCCTGGGGGTTTGGTGACAACAAGTGTCGGTGCTGGGAATGATGAGGAGGTAGTGGAGGAGGAGGAGAAGATTTGAGGAGGTGGAAGGAAGGGAGGGAGGAAAATTGAAACTGGAACCGCTGTCGGGAACGGACGAGGTCAGCGGGAAAAGGCTTTGGCTTTTTGTGTGTGCTTTTGTAGGCGGGTAAAGAGGTACCTTATATGCAGCGTTGGCTGCTCGGTCGTTTGACGAGAGCATGACAAACAACATGCAGTGCACAGGCATGGCATGGCGGCCATGCTCCAGGACGGATACTGCGTTGCTTCAGCGCCTGCGTTGCGTTGCGTTGCGTTGCGTTGCGTTACCAGCTTTAGATTGTTTATTCGTTTTCATTTTCTTTCCACGGCCAATTATAGCTGACTTTGTTTAGGTTTAGCGATGAGCGCTCTTAGCGATACATTCTTCATAGGTACCCTTCCAGGAAGATGGCGAGTAGATATCGACATGTGTTGTGCAATATCATGGCGATTTGAAGGGGAAGCTTTGCCATGTGTCGGTACACTGCCTAGTATTCGGCATCCCGCTCTACGCGGTGAAAAAAAACATCAAGAGGTCATCGGAGTTTCCTGTCTACTACGGTGTCGAATCCCGTGGTTGGACACATGGCGACAACAAAGTTCCAAGAAGTAAGCGGGCAAAAGGAGATTCCATGCCCTTGTGCATTAGTGAAACTATACACGAAATGTTGACAAATCGTCTCCCTAATGACATGAACCGAATTTACTGTACAAGAAAGTGATAAAGATAAATTGTCATTTCTCATGCAATTCATTAAGGGATGGTATGATTTCCCATTCCAATGGGAGTAAATGTGTGTTCAAGAAACCCACGCCATTCCGACCTTCGTTCCCAAGCGCCAATGCTATGATCCCCGGCCAAACCAATGCCCCTTTTGATCCCCTTTCGTTCATGTTTTTTTTCTCTGTTTTACCGGCCAACGCGGATAACGCCAGCAGCGATAAGCTTCTGGATCTTGGTCCTGACGTTGGGGTTCCTCATGTGCTCGGCCAAAGCCGCAGGGTCGGACTGAGCCTGCTGGAGGATGGCCTGCATGACAGGATCGGACATGATACCCATGATCTGAACGCGAATAGGTTAGTATATGTTGCAAACAGCAAATTTGGTATAACGATATGACATACCTCAGGATCACGCGCCAGACGCTCCCTTGTCTGCTCCTCGGTCTCGTTCTCCCGAGCCGCATACATGGCGTTGAAGGCCTTCTGCTCCAGCTGCTCAATCTCACGAGCGTTGGCGCCATTGTGGTACTCGGCGTCGATCTTGCGGGCTTCGGTGCAGGCGTCAACGCACTTGCTGTACTCGCGCATGCCGAAGTAGATCTGAGCCTTGCGGATGTAAGCACGGATGAACTTGGGGTCCTTCTTGATGGCCGTCTCGCAGTCCTCAAGGGCGCTGGGGAACTCGAGGAGCTTCATGAAAGCAGCAGCACGGTTGCTGTAGCCGCGGGGGTCATCCGGAGCACGCTTGATCATCTCGGAGTAGGCAGCAACGGCGCCGGGCCAGTCCATCTCCTTGAACTTCTTGTTACCCTCTTCACGAGCCTCCTCAGCCTTGACGGGGTCAATGTAGGCCTTGCGGGCAGCCTCGATCTTGTTGCGCTCAGCCGCGCGCACCTTGCTGATGACTTCAGGGGTACGGTGCTCGCGCAGACTCTGGTTGTAGTATTCAATCGCATTGGTAAGATCACCCAGCTTCTCGTAGGCAGAACCAATGCGCGCAAGCGACTTGGCAATGACCTTGAAGTCGGCATAACGAGCACGACCCTCCTCGGCAGCCTTCTTGCAGGTGTCAATGCAGGCCTGGTAGTCGCCCTTCTCAAAGTAGGCGGCGCCGAGGTTGTTGAGGTAGACAATGTCCTTGTACAAGTCCCAAGCGGCCTGGTAGTGCTTGATGGCCTCGTCAAAGTTGCGCTTCTTGTAGCACTCGGTACCAAGGGCCTTTTCCTTGTCGGCCGCCTCCTTGGCCTTCTTCTTCTCCAACTCCTCCTCATCCAGCTCGGGCTCGGGCTCGGGCTCGGGCGTCTTGGGCTTTGGTGGCGTCTCCTGCTTGGGGGCCGGGGCATCAGTCATGTTGACGTCCTCCTGGGGGGCTCCAGGGGGCACGTCCGAGTCCCTCAACTCCATGTCTACACCCATCAGGACACCAAGGACCTGGATCATCCTGGGGTCGGAGAAGAGATCTTGCGCGTTTGAAGGGTTCTGCTTGACAGCCTGGAGCTTGGCCATGAAGGCGGGGTCGGAGAGGAAGGCAGCCGTCTTGGGGTTGCCAGCGAGCTTCTGGATGAGGTTGGGATCGGCGAACATCTGGCCAATACCGCCGCTGAGGTCACCGCCGCCAGCCTCCTGCTGCATGGCGCGCTGAACAGCCTCAAAATCCTTCTTCATGCCAGCATTGTTGGGATCAATCTTGAGGCCCTGCTCGTAAGCATCGTTTGCGCCCAGCAGGTCACCCTTGCCGAAGAGCGCTGTGCCCTTGCGGCCCCAGCCCTTGGGCCAGTCAGGCTTGATCTCGGTGGTCTTCTCGGCATCCTTGAGAGCATTGTCCCAGTCCTTCTTGGAAGCGTACGCGGCGGAACGGTTACTGTAGAGGATGTGGTTGCTCGGGTCGAGGGCAATGGCTTGTGTGAACTTGTCACTGTAAAGGGACAGCTAGTGTCAGTGGATAGCTGACATGGATGTATGTGATATCGGCGGTAGAGCTTACATGGCCTCGTCAAAGTTCTTCTCGGCAATGGCCTTGTTGCCGAGAGCCTTGAGCTCGTCCGCGGTCGACATTATGGTGTGTGGTTACTTGTATTAGGGATTTCTGAAGGTGATATGGGTATCTCGGGATAGAAGAAATGCGACGGGGAATGCAAACTGGTGCGTTACAGAATCTTGCTTTTGGGTATCAAGGAATTGGATGTCAGTGCCCAGGAAAGAGGCTTCGTCGGGAATCAGGCTGAAGGATCACCAGATTTATTCACCGGGAGAAAGAGGGCGCGACATGACTGGAAACGGCAGCGGCCTGGGCGGCCTTCTGTCGTCGTGGAAAGGGAATGGAAAGCTCTGGACCTTCGATGCCTTTCGATGGTCAAGTCGGCTTGTGATTGGATAATATCGTTGAGCACTGGAGTACCTACACTACAGCTCCCCCGCCTGCGTCTTTCAGGGTGGCAGGTGCCCCTCTTTTGAGGCTGCTTGGCTGCCGTCTATGTACCCAATGACCCCGCTGACAGCTGAGGTCCGACCCCCGCATCCATCTTGTCATGGTCGAGGCCGATGCGGTGTTTCTTCCGTACCCGGGCTGAGAACGGCCAGCGTCACCGGAAAAACACCTTAGAAGTACTTCAGAGAGAGCGGCAGTGATTCCCTTTCACTTCGACTCTACTTTGGGATCAGGCCGGCGCTTGCCACAATTTCAGCTCACCTACCTTCAAGCCTATAATCCGGACACGGCCGTCTGCATTACCCGAGAAATGGGCGCACCTTGGGCTTTCTGACCATTCATCAGGCAATACTCAATCTGAATAGTGACACACCTCCGTCCTACGATGCGAATTTTCTCCCTGTCTTCACCTCCTACTCGGTATCGCCGCAGGCACCCGAGAAATAGCTATGTGGCCAGACTCCACAGACAACCTCAATCATGTCTGGGTAAGCATCGCGAAGGTCCTCAGCCCATCCCTTGTGCTCATCGATAGAGAGGACGTCTACGGCACCGAAAAGCAGGGCGAGGACAAGCCGGCGCATATTCTCGGGTCAATACAGTCTCTCAAATCCCGAGGACATGGTGCTTCTGATGCTTTGAAGTCGATGGACGAGTTCTCCTCAGCGCCACATATCCCCAACTGCTTCATACCAGCTCTGTCCCTGTCCTTTCTTATCCGTGTGTTGGCACAGACGGGGAGTCATGCTCGAATGACACGCTCCTTACGTCAACACCTCTCATAACCACCTTCTGTCGTCTGAGACATCCGTCTTCCTTACCTAAGGGTCCGGTTCGGGCAGATACGGGTATTGGACCATCAGTACGAGCATTGAACTGAAGCTTTAGGTAACTCCGAATATGTTGGATCAGCCTCACGCGTTTTAACTCAATTCGCGATGATCAAACATCCGCCTACTATTGGGTTCGTGGCCGGTAGATCGTATGCTATCTCATCTGGGCTTGAGTTATGGGGCGGCTTTTGCGCATTGCTGGAAACTCGTATAGCATACAAGGAAGACCGAGTTGTTGCTCTTTGCTTGCCGGCAGTATTTGAACGTTCCCGCTGGTCGTCATTATGTCACCCATGGGCTTTGACCTCACGATCAAATGAGTATATGACGACTTACGGATCTGTTACTTGCATAGTCAGCGTTCTGTCCATTTCATTGAGAACTGAACTAAGCTATCATCAGCTCAAACTGCGACAATGCCTACCGTACCAGGAATGCCAACGGGCCCGGAGGACCCTAGGCGCCCCGGCGAGAGTCCGCCTACAATATCCATTGTCATGTGTATCATCGTCTCCATCCTCATCTTAATAGCCATATTCGTGACCAGACGAAGCTCTCACAGGACAGAGTCAGACGAAAACCCACACCGAAGACTGAAGAAAGGGTCCGGAGGCATTGGGGTCAACGCTCTCCGCTCATTGCCGCTCGTCAAGTACGACCCAGACTTGATGGGCCAGGACTTTCACCATGACGGGAGTACAAGCCCACGGGGACTGAATCTGTTGCGCGGCATGGACATGGCAGTCGGCGATTCTGGTGTGGGAGACAAACCATCTCGAAAGGCATGGCGCGCGTTCTACCCCCAGATACGACACGCACTCTTGGGCAAACACAAGGGACAACAGCCTTGCACGGAAGACGCCGACAACAATTCTTTGATACAAACTTGTGCGATCTGTACCGATGACTTTGTCCGCGGCACGAACGTGAGGAGGCTTCCTTGCGGTCACTTCTTTCACCCACCCTGTATCGATCCATGGCTTCTGAACTTTGGGGTGACATGTCCCTTGTGGCAAGTTTTTCTCCCCTCCCTCTCCTTTTAGTTTTGTTGCCCCAGACTTGGGTGAGCGATGCCTCCTCTTGCTGACTCCATCACAGTCGGGCAAATCTCAGAACGTTAGCGAATGCAAATAACCAGAGCGAAGGCTGTGTAGCTGAACCACCACGAGCAATGGTAGCAGGAGCCGGATGGGTATAGGATTGGAAAGACTTACTGTACACCAGTTTCCCATCTACACGCACCATCTCAAGGCGGATGAGTTTTCTTGCAATCATGAACTCAATTTCTCACACTTCGACTGTCTTTAAACTGACCTCCAAATACAAAGTACAAACTCATAAGATTGTATACCTATTTGTCATTGCCTTTTGTGTTTACTACAAGACCTTTCTTATCTCCTCGCAGCCATCTTCAGTGCAGTATGACGAGACATCGGCTGCTGATGCCCCACTCGGATTGGCGATAAGGAAGGCACCATACATACATACTACATACACTACCTCTACATGGGCTGCCGGCCCCCGCCCCCGCCTCTGCCTCTTGACCGAGGAAGGAACCCCGGTGCAGCATTCATATATAATTGTAGGCGAGGAACTTGTTGACGAAAAAGTAGATAATCCTATCTTGTTGGTTTTTGCTTCTTTCCACCTGAGCATTTTCTTGTTGCAGCACAGCTTGAGAGTGTCCATGAGTTCGCCCCGGTCTTGTCTCCACTGCCCGTCTCCTGGGCAACCGTGTTTGTATACAACAACCCTGAATCTGTATCATCGCGACTCGCATAACAGTCAAACACCTTTGAGCTAAAAACATGACTACGGAACATTTGCTGTGGATTGGGGGTCTCGAAAAGGCAGGAAATGGAGAACTGCAAGTTATTGCTTTCCAGCCTTCAAAAGAGATGGCCTGAGACCGTATCACTGACTGATTTCGATGCAGGATCCCCGTCGAGAACCCAGCGACAGGCGAGATCGTTGCCAAGTAAGTAGAACCTCTCATGTATGCAATATCTATCTCAACTTACACAGTTTTCCGACAATTCAGCTGTCACTCCGCATCCAAGGAGGACGTCGTCTCCGCCGTTGAGCTCGCCCACGACACCTACAAATCCGGCGTCTGGTCTCGTGCTCCCCGTCATGTCCGCGCGGAGGTCCTCGAACGAGCCGCCAGCCTCTTCGAAACCCACCTTGCCGCCCTCATTGACATCGAAGTCACGCAAACTGGTCGAGCAGTCCGCGAGATGAACGCCCAAGTTCCCTCCCTTGTTAAATGGTTCCGGTACTACGCCGCCTTGCTCCGTACCGAAGAACGCTCCGTGCTTCCTACCGTCGGCAAACTACACAACTTCCTCGATCGTCGACCGCTGGGTGTAGTCGTCCAAATTACTCCCTTCAACCATCCCCTCCTGATTGCTGTCAAGAAGCTTGCTCCAGCCTTGGCGGCAGGTAACTCGGTGCTACTGAAGCCGAGCGAGTTGACACCCATCACATCACTGATGCTGGGAAAGATCATGAAGGAGGCGGGTCTGCCGGACGGAGTCCTGAGCGTACTGCCCGGGTACGGTGCTACTACTGGGAAGGCGCTTGTTGAACATCCGCTTGTAAAGAAGGTGGATGTTACGGGCGGAACGGCAGCGGGACGGGCCATCGGTGAGATCGTGGGGAGAAATTTGGCCAAGTATACGGCCGAATTGGGTGGGAAAGCGCCACTAGTGGTTTTCCAGGATGCCGACTTGGACGCAGCTGTCAACGGCATCGCTTTTGGAGCTTTTATTGCGAGTGGGCAGACGTGCGTGGCCGCTACAAGGATCATTGTTCACGAATCGATCTACAGTGAAGTGCTTCAAAGATTGACAACCAGAGCTACTTCCATCGAACGGCGGATGGGCTCACCAAAAAATCCCGAGTGTATGATGGGTCCACTTATCTCAGAGCGGCAGCTGAAGAATGTCGAGGAGCTAGTGGATGAGGCGTGCCTATACCACGAGCGAATTGTACAAGCAGGCGGGAACAGACTGGAGGGGCGAAGTGAACTCGACGATACAGACTTCTCCAAGGGCTACTACTTCCCACCTACCATACTTGCATATAATAAGCCAACAGACAGGAGCATTCTCAACGCAAGGATCTGGCGCGAGGAGGCATTTGGCCCGGTTGTTGTGGTGGTCGGATTCAGCACTGAACAGGAAGCCATTGAGCTCGCCAATGACAGTGAGTTTGGACTTGGAGCAGCGATATGGACGCGCGATCTGGCGCAAGCTTTCCGCGTGTCTGAGCAGATCGACGCAGGTATTGTCTGGGTCAACACTCACCATCGCAACGATCCCAGCAGTCCTTGGGGAGGAGCCAAAAGCTCAAGTGGTGTGGGAAGCGAAAACGGGATCGATGCGTACCATGCATATACTACGACTAAGAGCACGATCATCAACTATGCTTCTGCGGAGGAGATGGCAGCGGAAGACTGGTTCAAGGAGGGCGCTGGGACTGTGAGATATGGTTGAAATCGGACGACTGGCACTTGAGATTCCTTCGGGTCTGCCTTCTTCACTTTTTCTCAGAATACCAAATACTCACAAAGAAGTCCCGATCAGCTTGTCTGAATTACACATACAAGCAAACAAAGCTCACAGGCACGGAATTATGCGTTTAAAACCCTCCTTACCCTCATGCTTCCGTCCATCTGAACCCATGAAGATGTCATAGAACTGTAAAGATTAGAATATGGAACAAAGAGGGTTCAGACTAAATACAAGATTTCATCCCAAAGTCGCCATTCGTTCAGTCATTCGTCGTTCCCTTCCATCATTACCCGCAAATCCTTCCATCCCAGAATTGTGCGTAGAATAGTACCCATCATTCATCCAATAATCCTGTTATCCTTTCTTCACCCTTCCTTCCATCCTTCCTTCCATCTTTCCTTTCATCTCACTCCCATCTGCTTCACTTACTCCGAGATATCCTGAGGATAGACATACGGGCGGCACTTGTTGGCCGCGCAGAAGCCGTTGCAGCAGGTGCCGACGTACTGTCCGTTCTTGACACAGTCCTCTGTTGACACACACACACACACACACATTGTCAGCCATTGTCAGCCATCATTTTACTCACATACAGTATATTCAACACACTCCTCACTTGCTCACTTTGGATCGTGCACCACACAAAACGAGAACAAAAGAAGATCTTCACATATATGAAAAAGACGGGAAGGGAAAAAAGAGAACATACCATAAATCCCCAAACAATAACCGTGGCACCTGACCGAGTCAATCGGCTGCGGCGGACCAACAGCAAACTGCTCCTTGGGGAACGAGTCACCGCTCAGCTGGTAGTTGAAAGCGACCTGCTGGTGCGTGGCGAACTCGCACTGGTTGACGGTGAAGTCGAGGGCGGTGATGATGTTGATGTTCAGACCGTTGTCTAGGTAGGTAGGTAAATGTTTGGTCAGTCTGGACATATACCTACCTCTGCGCACGCTTGAGTAGGTAGTTGGCGAGGATAGGTAACATACTAGTAGGATACCAGTTCCCGTCGGCGGGAACAGTCAGGTTGTAGCCGGTAGCGGCGGCTTGGAAATAGAAGTGGGCAATCTGGGGATCGGCGCGACGGTCAAGCTCGGGAGCTGCTGGGTGGGCGACGGCAAGGCCGAGAAGAGCTGGGAGGAGGAGGAGGAACTTCATTTTTGCTGTGAGAGAGAGAGGTTTGTCGTTTTGCAGACCGGTAGTATGGTATCTTACTATGTTGAAGAAGGTGTTCTTTGATCTTGAATGATCTTTGAGATGAGGATGCTAGATCAATCGCTCTTCTCCGTCTGGAAACCCCAGGACCTTTATACTTCCTTTCCTTCCTCCCTCCTCCCCCTATACATCCTCCATGTGTGACCATGTCCTGAATGATGCAAAATAGCTCTAGTTCCGGGCGGGAGCCGTAGAGCTCAACCGCCATTATCGACATAAGCAACTTCGTGATCAACTGGGTGATCGGTCAGCTACAATAGCAAACCGCCTCAACCCCTCAGATTTTCACAAAGTATATGTGCACGTGTGTGCCGCCTCGGTGTTCATGTTTGTCATAGATCTCCGCGCTCCTCCTCTTAAAAAAGATATAAAAATCGATAGCAAGTTTTCATGAAAGAGGCGTCTCTCGATATTCTCGTATAAGCAGCCATGGCTTTTCAGTCACAACGCGATGATGTAAGACCACAACTGATTATGGTCTCGGATCCTTCTTGGACTGGGTTAGGATTGTAGTGTCCCCGTGATGATCTCCTGTTGGAAGAAGACTGGGCAACAAAATCCTGCGCTGAGGAGGCGCACCTGTCAAATACGAGACAATTGCCGTTTTGGGCGCTCGCCGCCCCATCACGGCCCGTAGTGATTGGTTTGGTGTTCCCGTTCCGTGGGGTGCTTTTTATGTTCTGGGTTCCGGCTTCCGGCAGTTACGTAGTAGGAGCTCAAGAGTGGTCATCACTCATCACACCACTGCCGATTGTGGGTAGGTATTTGTGAACTAAAGTTCGTACGTAACGAACATCTTACATACCTATTCCAGCTTTGCGAATATGCAGTCTTTACTGCGGCACGTGCACGATGGGAGGAAAAGAAAAGAAAAACTCGGGGGTAGTAAGACGGGGAAACTTTTTCGATTGATGACGGACGGTGTTCTACCTGCTTTTGGCATCTCTGTTTCTGTTTAGCAATCTGACTTACAAGCCACCACACGGTTATCACACGAAGAGTCAAACAGGAAACCTTTGAACAGATTGCATACGGGCCTCGAAGTGTCTTGACTTGCCTGGCGCGCAAGACTGCGATTGCAATCGAACGCATCTGGCATCTCACAAGGACCTGATGAGGACCACTGTAGGTATATATCGAGGATACCTAGGTTCAATCACCGTGATTCGGTCGAGATCCAGTGTCGCCTCGGATGTACCGAAGTCCCCGGGCTCTGCTCAAAAGTGGATATAAATTGCCATCTTCGGGGTTTGGTTCGGTCCCTTGATGTAACTTCAACCGGTTGGTACGTAACCTACATTACACCAGAATAGGTTAACTGGGAGCTGAAGATCCAGTCTCGTGCTCATGGCTGTTTGTGGAAGGTGGGGAAACCCCAAGGCCAATGACGCCTCCCACCGACGGGAGAGGCGGTGAGCCAGAACTCATTGGGGCATTTATAGTGGGCTTGTAAGCCGGGAAATGTGGGGCTTGCGCGGCGTGAATCCCGGAGGGGACCGGTGGACGCCCGGACCAGGAGGGATTTGATATTGCCAGTCATATAAGGGGGCAAGATTGCACCAAAGTACCTATAACTCCGGGCGTTTCCCCCTCTGGTGCTGGGGGAGAATAGAAGTCGACATGGTGAGGTGAAGTTATCATTCTTGAAAAGTATTTCTCGTATTTTCCAGGGGGAGAGGAAAAGCATTCTCACCAGTCATGACGTTTCGCATGGATGAATATTTATCAGGGTAACCCCATTGCTTATTCTCCTTGTTAACTCTCAATAATGTTGTAGTATAAACTTTAAAATGTTGGTACCTGTACCTTCCGCTCTGTAACCCTCTGTCATCTATTTCTGTACCTCTGCCGGTGTGAGTTGATATCTTTATCCAAGCCCAGAACGCCATCATTCATAATCATTCCCAGAAAGAAAAAGTCAGACCCGATATCCAGAGGGAAAAAACAAAGAAAAAAGAAAATCAAAGAAAAAAAAAGCAAATCCAAAAAAACCGCACTCAACACCACCGCTTTTTGCTAATAGATCATGAGCATATCTTTATGCCTCCAGTCATTTTCCATCCATGATGTTTGCTATGGGGAAATTCTCTTTCCTTCTCCTCTCGCACAACTCCAACTTTATGTGCTTGTAATGTTAAAAGGTTAAACTTTAGAAACTGAAGAGACCGCTCCGCCTCTTTCCAAATGGATAAACAATCAGAGCACTCAGGGATAGCCCAACCGAGATGCTGATAGCGACCTGAATGACGCTGAATAAGACGTTGAAAGCCGTGCTGTTCAGGTCTGCCGTTTGCGCGCCCCGGGTGAACGTCTGTCCATCGGCGGAGAGCGTCTCGTTGCGAGTGATCTGGTCGGCGCTCGCCACGCCACTGAGGAGCGAGCCGCTGACGGCCAGGCCCGAGGGGACCTGTACAAAGATGGCGGGTAACATGGCGGCAGCGGCAAGTCCGTATCCAATCCGGCGAGTGTGTTTGTGAGGGGCTGCGGCGGATTTTTCTGCCGGTAGGCCCAATTCAGGGTCTTGGTCCTTTCGGAAGGAGCTGTTGGATCCTCCTTCCGTGGAATATAAACGCCTGTGCTTTCCCTTGAGACGAGCGATGCGCGGCTCAAAGATCTTTTCCCAGCAATCGAGGAACTTGTTTTGTACCACACGGCCCACCCGTGAATACAGGTTTGCCAGGACTCCAATGCAGAGAGCACCTAATGAGTTGGAAAGGGTCGTGTTTCCTGAAAAGTACCTAGATGAAAAGCTGTTCACGCAGTAGCCTGCCAGGGAGATGATAACCATGACTGTGGAAAGTCGTTAGTGATATTATCATGGAGACGAGGGGTGATAAGATGATGCGTACCTGGAAGCTGCTTGAACTTGGCCTGATTGATGGCACATAGACACAACGTAAAAGGCAACACAAACAAAATGTAATAGTTCTGGTCTGGCCGTTTGCTGTACCACTCAGTACCAATCTTGCAATGGACGGTGCTAACTGCATTATGGTCCATGTATCCGTAAATAACGGATCCGATAGTGATGCCATAGCCAAGGAACAGCGAATAGATGAGTGCGTAAACCATGCGGACTGAACCGGATATCATGGAATGGCTTTGTAGCTCCAAGCTTGCACAAAGAACCATGTAACCCGGAAGAATCAGAGCAATGGAAGACTGTGCAAGTGAGGAGAAGCAAAACAGGTCTCCATTTTGGAGCGATCCGAAAACACGCGCGAAGAAGGAGGTGAGGAGAGCAGCCGTGATTTCAAAAACGTTTGCGTACAGCTCGTTCGCAGGCGCAATATAAAGCTGCAAGATGCCAACCATGCATCCGAGAATGAAGGCGATAGGCATGTCGATGTACCGACCCTCAAAACCAAAAGGGGCCACCGTCGCGGAAGCCACACCAAAGAGCAGAACACGCAACCAAGTTGGATACTTGTTCTTCCGATTCGTAATGTCGTTCAATCGCGTTGTAGCCTCATCGACGCTGATGAGATCATGTACGACCTGTTTGTAGACTTCGTGAACGTCGCGTAATTTGCCGAGGTCGACGCCAGCATTACTGCGCACAATTTTCATCTCGGTAGTGTGAGTGTTGCTGTCGTCGAATGAAATGATCATGGTTCCCGGCAGGTACATGAATTGGCCTTCGATGCCAAGGACGCGGGCGGACATTCTCATGTAGGCTTCCAAGCGATGTGTGGGTGCACCATACATCATCAACGCGTTGCACAGCTTCAAGAGGTACCGATGGCGGCTGATAATCTCTGCAATGTGTTTGGTGATGCGAAACTCCTCCAGCTTTTGCTTGTCGGCTCTGAGTCTCGATCTCGACCGTCTTTTGGTCTTGTCCTTTTCCTGCTTAACCTTTTCCGCAGCTTCGGCTACCTCTTTTCCGGCACCGGGGACAGCAAACATGAAGGACGATTCCATGAGCCTCGATGTGGACGATGATCGAAACCCGCGGCTTCTTCCCCGATCCTTGTCCGTCTTGGGAGTACTGGGCCTCGAGGTAGGAGGAGTCGTTGTTGGCGTTCTGTTCGGTGTCTGACTTGGGGTGGTCATGGTACTGGAGCCACCAGACGTTCCTGCTCCTGCAGTCTCTTCTGCGTTGTATAACTTGAGCAAGTTCCCCAGAATACCACCCCTATACTTGTCTGGGCGAGGTACATAGTCCAGGTCGTGAGGGATTGGCGTTGCAGTTCCAGACACGTGCGTGCTCTGGGCGGTTTGTGGGCGGCTGAGAGCGTTGAAAGCGCTGATGCGGCGTGTATGCTTCCGGACCAGATCATTGGCAACTTGCTGTGATTTCCTGCGAGCGCGGAGGCTGTGGGAGTCGTCTTGATCCTGCGCCTCAAAGTCGCGACTGATAGAGATGCCAATCGGCGATACGTTTCCGTTGAGGGTAGTTTCGTCTCCAGAGTCGCTATCATTGCCAGCAAACGAGTTTCTTCGAGACGCACCGACTGATGAAGTGCCGACGGCGTGGGCAAGCTTGTCGGCGCGGTTACGTGCTTCCACCTCGGATCGATGGGGAGGCTTGAGCATATCGGGTTGAGGATCGGGAACAGTTGTCGTGTTTTTTCGAAGAACAGGACGTGGCCGAACGGGATGGGCGGAACCGGCCTGGTTGTTAAGCTCGGGCCTCAAGATCTCGGCTAGGGCAGCCGTAACCTCATCTTTATTAAAGGAGTCGCGCTTTGCTGGAGGGCCGAAGGTGTGGTGCGGAGGGGTCGTGGCAAAGTCGTAGTCGTGGATGGGCGAGGAGAAGTAATCCTGTGCAGCATGCTCCTGTCCATCCGGAGTGACGACTACCTGGGGGGCTGGTGGGCCACCGGCCTGTCCTGGTGGTCTATCGCTAAGGAAGCCAACTCGCTTCTTCTCTTTTCCCTTTGGAAGCTGAAGGTGGGGGATCTGTGGCGCAAGTAGCGGTTGCTCCGGTAGAGGTGTCGCAGTTGCGCTGATGTTGGCGCTGGCATTCTGGCTGGTGCTACTGCTGCCCTCCCCGTTTCCACTCCCAGATGATTCAACCCCAATTCCTCCCTGAAGGGTTGTCTCACTATCACTTCCACTCCGGCTGTTGCTGGCCCCGCCGATATCACCCTGATCCTGCGCAGAAACCATGGCTACAGCAACGCCCTCTCACGGGCCAGAGGGCTACTTTGCCCTTCCCACAAGTATCCCAAGGTTGATGATGTC